ACCCTCAAGCTCCCAGGCCTCTGGTAGAGGACCCGAGCTTGAAGGATAAACCGCCCGCAGGGGCGTGCTGGGTGTTATATATAGATATATATAGATATATATATTACACATGTGAATTACTCTATCTGCCCTCAGGGAACGGAGGACCGTTTCTATGGAAACAGGCTGCCAGACTATCATGCGGGGCTCCACCATATTGAAGATTGTTTTCCCCCAGGAAGTGATAGGCAGTCTACATGGTGTTTCAGCTGTTGGAGGGGATGGTGCTCACCATGACAACAGATTTCAGAGTTTACATGTTGACAAAGGCCTTTTACGTCTATTAACAGTATAACATTGTATTTTCACAAAGGGGTAATAGTTCAAATGTATTGTTCCATGCAGCGTTGTGTGTAGCAGGCAGGTTAGGACCCAAATGCAGGACTCTCAGGATAGACTGAACTTAACAACAGCTTTATTTAACACAAATAACTAATTACAACTTAAATGGCAGGAACTCGTGGATCCAAACACTGAACAAACACTAAAGGCTGTGTGTCCTGATCAAACAGGACACACAGCACACACAGGTGAAATGACAAGGTGCTTAGAGAGGCTGCAGAGATTGGAGCAGGCCAGGAAAAGCCCAAAAACCACTAAACAAGCCTAAAGTATGATAATTACAGTTCATTTGGGCAAGGGAACAACCATCTACTGCAAGAAGACCTAAGCTCAATATCCTCCAAGGTGGCAGATGGGAGTAGACCTGTGAAGGAAGCTGAATATCCCACCTGTTACCCAGGCAACGTTGAGGCCTGACATGGATATCTAATCAGAGCAGGGTAAGGAGGTCATCTGCTCAACAGGGCCTAAAATCTCAAGATACGACCTCGAGACATTTCAAGAGCCTAAAATACCAAGTGCAGAGGGAAAGAATGGCAAAAGAGAGTCCCCAGAAAACACTGTATTGTTTCAGGGAATGAGCAGTAGACAGCTGTTCACAGGATTGGGGAAGCAGCTGAGTGAGCCTATTGTTGGCCCTGGTATATGGAGGAGGGGGGCTGGGCTAGAAGCCTCGAGGTTGTTTGTAGTGATTTGGCCACCACTGCTGACCTGCCATCAGGAGAGTCAAAATAGTCAGTGAAGGTTAGGTATCATTTGGCAACATCAACTCCAGGCTGAAGACCATAATTGCTCTATAGTACCTACAGTTGTGGCATCCTGGGGTGTGTTAAGGAAGCTTGAACACTACATGAACAAATGCACTGGTTCACACCTCTGAAATGGCACTTGCTGTGGTTCCTACATGCTTCCACTTTGCAACAATGATTGTGGAAACCTCTTCCTTCCTGGGAACACAGCGTGGTGATAAGGATGTTTAAAGGATGTGCACAAAGCTGCATCTGGTCAGTTGGCTGATCAATTTGTTTCACCAACTCACCTACACAAGGCAATTTGTAAAGGGCGTAGCAGCCGTGGCAGTTTGTCTTGAAACAGCAATGGTAATCTCCATATTTTGACTTTCTTCTCAAAATAAATCTTTTAGAATAGAATAGCCTTTATTGTCATTGTACAGAGTACAACAAAATTGGAGTGCCACTCCCTTGGTTAAAGATTCAATAATAAATATAAATGTAAAATATAAAAAGTACAATAAAACAATCTCAAGTACTCAAACAATACTAAGTACGATACATACAGGATAGCAGCATTAATATAATGACAGTATGAATAGCAGCATAATATAATGGCAGTGACGGTATGGAATAGCTAAGCAGGTTCAATTGTTTTTGTGCTTATTTACTACGGTGATAGCTCTGGGAAAGAAGCTATCCCTGAATCTGTTTGTCCTGGTTTTATGTGACCTGTACCGTCGGCCTGACGGTAATAGTTCAAACAGTTGATTGCTGGGGTGAGAGTAGTCCTTGATGATATTGCCAGCTCTGCTGAGGTACCGAGAGTTTGCAGTGACCTCCAGGCTGGGCAGAGAGCAGCCAGTGATCTTCTGGGCTGTGTTGATGACCCTCTGCAGTACTTTCCTGTCCGCAGCTGAGCACCCTGCATACCATGTTGTTATGCCGTACGTTAGGATGCTCTCTATGGTGGCTCTGTAAAATGTCACCAGCAGCCTCTCTTTACATTATTCTCAGAATGATCACCAACATTTTTTTTTTTCTTAACATGGCCTTAAGACTCCATCATACAGAGAGGACAAAAATTAGAACCAATAAAAACTGTGAAAAATCACAGCTTCATTTTTCGTTGGATTGGAGTTTCTTTGATAAACGACTAAAAGATTGATCAGCTTTTAAAATAGTTGGCTGTATATCTTTTCGATGCGTTTTAAAATTCAGTGACACTTATCTAAGCCACTGGATGACTTATGAAGCTACAAACTCATTTACAATTTTTCTGTCAGGCAGCACGAACTCTTGAAAACTGAATCTTCCAGCTTTTCCTGCTTGAACATGTCAAAATGTCTGTAAAAATCTCAAACTACCAATCAGATACTGAGAAAACAGTTTGACGTTTGTTCTTATTTTTCCATTCACACAAACACAAAAAAAAGAACAATCAAAGAATAACCGTGTGATCATGTTTTGTCTACGCAGACGAATAACCAGACCTTAACATTTCATGTCTAACTACTAGAAACTTTTGTGCCAGAGCTTGGTTTGTAATGAACCTGCCTCTAACCCACAGAGAATTACCAGCCTGCAGCTACTGGGGAGGAGCTGAAAGAGTCTACTGTATAACATCAATGATGTGAATTCTCAGACAAGTAAATCTTAAAGCTGACTATACAAACGGACAAATGTCCTACTGTAGAGTTATTATAGCATACTGTAATCTGAAACTTGTAAATGTATTGGTGCTTTATAACTTAAGTTACTAATGACGACGATCCAGTTTTAATGAAAATTCTTTTATTAGTTAAGTCTATTGTCTTTCTACACCATACAAACACCCATTATAATTTTCACTGAAAATAAAATCCTCATGTACAAAAATCTACCCCCCACCCAAACTCTCATAGTACCAACAAGGGCCACTGGAATTACATTTAAAACGAAAGTCTGCAATCTGTACACAAAATCCCAAATAAAAACAAGTACAACACTAATGAAAACTGCATTCTGTAAGCAAAACCACTGATCCTTGAGTTTTTGACTCTTAAAATAATAAAGCCATCGCAAAAAAAAAAGAAAAAAAAAAGTGGGATTTATTAAATTAATTTTTCTGTACAGCTGTTTAACTGATGCTGTGCTTAATTATACACAATTGTTCTTGATAGAGAGCTGCCAAAGTTACATTAAGAGTATTAAGCACAAATAGGTAAAAAAACAAAACAAAAACAAAGGTATTATATTCTGATGAAACAAAAGCACATGCAACCATCAGAAGTTATACAGCAGCAGCTGTGGGGTTCAGAAAACATGAGCAATAAGCACAGGAAATATGATCTCAAATTCTGCCACTGACCAGCAAAAGGTATCACAAAAGGATTAAGTGGTGACGTATCAAAAGCATCCTCGAGTTGAACAGAAATTCAAATCCCTGTTCAGAGTTTATTATAGTGGAGAGATTCATTTAACTGATGCAGATGCTGGCTCACACAGCGTTTTGCAAGAAGAAACAAAGGTGGTGCATGTCCGCACCTGAAATTGAGCCACAGGGTGTTAACAGATACACGTCCGGGCTTTCTTGACTAGTGAGGAAGAGGACAAACAGCATCGCTGTCCACAGAAGTTCTGTTCGAGAATGTTCTGGATTCAGAGAACACCTGTAAATGTGGGAAAATCAAGTAACAGTGACTTGAAATGTCCAGACAGGAAAAAGCAAACCTTGCTCCGGGAAAACTCTTTCAAAAGAGAGTTTACAGGAGCTCCAGTGTGCCAAATCCTCCGAGCTGATTCTACTGATGAAACAAGCCATGGCTTCTGTTGACTCCCGATAACTTACACTCAGCCTTTAGCGCTGGCTGTCAGTAGAAGGAGAACGAGAGCGGGAGCGTGAACGCGAGCGGGATCGGGAGGCGGAGGCTCTCTGGGCAGGCGCGGGGGAGGGCGGGGTCGCTGATTTGCTCATCTTGGAGGAGCGCTTGGCGGGCTCTTTAGATTTGGAGGTTGGGGAGGATGCGCCGCCGGCAGGCGAGCCGCTGTGGGAGCGGGAACGGTTGTGGGCTTTGGCAGGGCTGCGGGAGCGTCTTGGGGAGCGTGATGCAGAGCGACCACGGGAACGGGACCGCGAACGGGAGGAGCTCTCAGATCGTGAGCGACTTCTCGACCTGAAAGAGGGGGGGGGAAAAAAATAAATAAAAATTACACCAGCTTCATATCAATATTCATAAAAAATTTAATTATTAGCTTTTATTTAAATGAGCATTTTCAGTTTCATGAAAAAAGAAAACTAATCTGTTAATAACAGATAACAGTTAATAATAGTAAGAGTCTATGCGGTGCTCAAAGTGAAACCCAAACTAATTAAATCCATCTCAAGGGAACCATTTTTACAGATGTTACTGAGAATTGCCTTCATAACACAGTAATCAGAAACTAGTACAGTATTACATTCCACCAGCCTGTACACGGCCCAATTTGAAAGCGAGGGTTTAACATTTAGTTCAGGTGCACTGAATGGTTAACCTAATGTCTCCTTAATTACTATCAAAACTCAAACATGTTTGACTTTCAACATAAGCTGTTTTTCTTCATAAAAGCATATGCAGTTCCTTGAAAGCAGCACTGATTTGTTACAACTGGGTGAATTCAGTTTGAAGCACACTTTAAAAAGAAAAGAAATAAAAGAAAAACAGGGAAAAAGTGAGTTCATCAGCCAAAAAAAAGACATCTTTCATAAATTCTGGCGTTATTTGAAGTGAACGGCTTTCCACAAACACACCTCTTCTTGGCAGCTTCGATGAGCTTGATTTTTCTGCCATTAATTTCCTTTCCAGAGAGTTTGTCAAGTGCATTTTTCAGGTCACTGTGAGAAGCAAACTCAACCACCCTGAAAACAAATAAGACACACTGTTAAGTCAAAAACTCACTTTCCTTTTTTTATTATAAACAGACACTGGGCACCGGTTAATAGTCTCACCCTTCGTTGAGCTTGGGACGATGTGCGTCTGCGAAAGTCACCTCTCCAGCTTGCCTCATGAAATCTTTCAGGTCCTACACATGCAAACGTTGGTCAATTTACGGAGCGCCTCAGAACACAAGCACAGGCTGAGACACAAACAGGACTGAAGAGAGATGGTTAGATTCTCTGAGAGGACTACACAGACTACTGCAGATAAGGAGAATGAGTCCAAGAACCTCACAGTCTGTTCAGCTTGCAAGTGTTTCAACAATATAGAAAATTACAAAAACAATAGAAGAGGGGGGGGGAGAGAGAAGGTGGTTTCATAATTGCTAATTAAGGTCTAAGCCAATTGTGATTGGCGGATTACTTGCAGCAGCTTTGAGGTCCTTGGACACACCGCTCGTTAAAACTACAGAGAGATGAACACCATCTGCAAGAACTGCAGAGGCGCAGCCTGGGCAGCATTTGGCACTCAGAGCCCCATTTTCCTTGGGGAGGAGGACACAGGGCTCCGCGCCGGGATCATCCCTGCCTCGGCACCCCACCTCAGTAAAGAGAGTGAACAGGGTGGAAGAGAGGAAACTACTACCTGAGAGCGAAACCCTTTGGGGTGGGCCGCAGGCTCTCCGAGCCCACCATAACCGGGAAAACAGCAGATTATATCCACGGGCACCTGGCAGGAATTCACACTCTCTCGCTCACGACGTGCGGGAACACCAGAGGGGGGAAGGGAGGGGGGATATCGATCGAAGCCCCTCAAATTAACGAACCATCGATCAATACGCCACCACCATCGACTCTCGCTCTCTCCTCTGCTTTCTCTCTGCCAACCCTCTGTTTCCTCTCTCTCGCCCTCAACCACACATCAGGCGTTGCGAGCGAGCGAAGGGGGCCGCCAGCGCCTCTAGTGTGGAGCGAGCGCTCACATGACCAGCAGGCATCAACTAGGAGTAGGACAGACTGGCTGACACCACAGGCTCAACCCAGACAGAAGGACCCAGAAGGGGTTAACTCCACCATAAGCGAGCTCTTCCATATGACTGGCAAATAAAGGGGTGAAGAATTGGTTAAAATGTGAAAACAGGAACAAATTAAGTGTTTTGTTGCTGCTTCTGCTGCTCTTTGCATCACTAATGAACTGCATGATATGCAGATTAATCAGAGCAATTATTCTGAAAAAGAATAACTTGGGCTGACTGATGTATAACAAGGTAAAACTGTTCGAACTGTTTTGATTTCAGTAACATAGTCTGTTTTTAGCAGCAATTCTAAAACTTTAATGTGTATTTTTGGAGATAGACTGTTGGAGGTGATAACATTTGTGTTCTGTTGCAGCTTTCAAAGGCTTGTCATGTTCTTTTTTTTTTGCTTTTGTTCTGGTTTTTAAAAGACGCTTGAGCCAATACTAACCTGCCAGCTGACTCGAGAGGACAAGTTCTCCACAATCAGGCGGTTCTCGGTGCGCATTGGAGGAGGGTTACGACTGGAAATGGAAAGATATAAAAGAAGCAATTGAGCAATAACAGCGTAGGGCTGATACAGACTTTACCCAGAGTCTAAGAGCTCTCATTAGCAAACTGTCATTACAAGGCTAACTCATGTTAAAGAGCTTTCCAGATCAGCGAAGACAAGACTTGTGCTGCATGTTAATGAACATTTCCAGCCTGCAGGCCATTAAACTGCCACAATAATCTGACGACTGACCTTTCACCAAATAACAGAAGCTGTTTACAGAGCGTGCTTGCTGAGGTTTTGTGTGCATCCATTCTTCTTTTTTTTGAATGGAATTAAAGGGAACTTGAATTTCATCTTAAAAAGGGGAGCTGTTACCTCCGGCTGTTCTGGGAGCCGCGGCCGTAGCGATCAGAGAAACGTCCCCCTCCGCCGCCGCCACCGCGTCCACGGCCACCGCGCAGACGCACGCGAGCATGCTCAATGGTCACCCTGATGTATCAAGCATTAAAAATATATTTTATTATGGCAACAAATGTGAATAAAGGGACTCGTTTCCTAAAGGAAATTCATTACCTTTCATTGCACAGCTCTTTGCCATCAAGCTCATAAACAGCATCTTCTGCATCTCTGGGGTCGTCAAACTCCTGCAGACCAAGCACACAACACCTTTTACATCCCCAGTTCTTAATGTTTATCCTTTTCATCACCAATACTGTGTCCTGTTTTTAATACTTTACTGAAACATTTAATGACTAATCAAATAGCTTTTAGTACCAAAAGAATGGTAACGAATAACATTTAAAAAATACATCACTCTTTTAGAAAAGTGTAAAAATTCATCACACGTATGACTCAAAATCGGTCTCTGGTCTGAGCGGTAAAGTGATTCAATTCAACCCTTCCAAGTGTTGCAATGTGGACTTTTCTGTCCTTCTAGAGAGGGAAATATTAATGTTGCATAAGTGGACACAAATCAGAGCAAATGAGACCAAATTGTGTTCAAGGACATGAAAACAGGGGAAACTATTAGATTAGAAGTAATGGCTAATGCCAGGATTTTTCAGTAGGTATTACTTTGTCTAATCAAATCTATGGATTTTCCTTCCATATATGCAGATTTCTTTAACGAAAGTGTTTATTATTTCAATAAAAAGAGACCCTACTGATAGATGTAGATTTTGTGATAGATATGTGCCATGTTCGGTTTATTCTAATGTGGATTTTAACTTGTAATGAAATAATCTACAAAATTTTAGAAATCTGCTTAAAACCCCTGAAAATTCATCTTACATTCAAGCACGTGTTGTCAAATCTTAGTTAAAATTTGATTAAAATTTATAACACTACTTCAAGAATGACACCACCTGGTGGTTCTAGCGTTAAATGTCCATCCTTACATGACTAGAGTGTGCCCCGTCTTCAGATGGCTGCTTGCAACAGGATGATGCTGCATGTCAAAAAGCTCAAACCATCTAAAACAGCTCTTTTAACCTGACAATGAGACCATGACTGTACTCCTCAATCCAGCAGACATCAATCCAATACAGGACCTTTGGGATGTTCTCATCATGATCACCCAGCAAATCTGCAGCAACTGTGTGATGCTGTCAATGTCGATATGGAGCAAAATCTCGGAGAAATCATTTAGCCCAGGCAATTTAATAAGTAGAATAAACTATTAAAATCATAACGTCATTACAAGGTTGGTGATTTTTCATTGGGGGAAGGCCAAATCCTCTTTAGGGGATGCCATAACATTATCGATGCAGGAAAAAACAAAATCTTTCCAGATCCAAGTCTCGACACTCGGCAGCCATCTTGTAACGCTCCCAGGTCCTTATTTGGGTAGGTATTTAGAAGCATTATGCAAAATACCTTTATTTCAATGGTCACCTTGAAATATATACAAAACCGCTTAAAGTCGAGCTTTGTTCCACCTCTAAATTTAAGATTTTTTATTATGAAATTTCCGATTTTAAAAAAAATACATATAGTTTGAATTGCTTTCTTTATGACTTTGGTATGCATAAAACGCTCCAAGTATATGAACGAGTCTCGACTTGGCCCTGATTTACTGGTGGGTATGTCGCTAAACAAGAAGTAGGCCATAAAAACGAAACCATAAGGATTCCCTGCGGCAGCCTGCTTCAAAACACCACGTCAGGTCTGTAAAATAAAGTATGGAGTCTAAATTTAACAGCAGACCCGTGCATGGCGCTCAGAGTACATTTAAATACCTTTCAGCCATCCTGACCTACTTTCGCTCGGTGACTCACCACAAAGCCGAATCCTCTCTTCAGGTCGATATCTCGGATGCGGCCGTATCCTTTGAAAAACCTCTCCACATCCTTCTCTCTGGCCGAGGGGCTCAGCCGGCCGATGAAAATACGACATCCGCTCATGATTTGGTCACGTTTAATTAGCTACAAGAAGAACACTTGCGTTAGTTTTTAAGGATTTAGCTAACACAGCTTCAGAGGAATACAAATGACCTACTTATGTGCCTCAGCCTGTGGCCCGCTTTCGCAACGATAGCCAGTCAACCGTCGGTCCAAAGATAACTAAATACCCAGATAATATCAAGTAATGACACCCGTCTGTAATGTAGATATAATAAATTCCAGTCGATATACACGTACCTTTAAGAGGACTGCAGCAGCACTTGATTTTACTGACTGGCGACAGTGAGCCTCAACTCCAGAATAAAACAAAATGGAACCTCAGCTGTCTCCGGGAGTTTGGGAGGAGGGAGTGGGGTACATCCCGCGTGACCAGTGACGCAGCCTGACACTGCAGAACTCGAAAAAAGCCGAAGTGCTGGGAGAACGTCTACGGAGATGACGTCACAAATCCGACTCGTGTAGTTTTGGAGTCTGACCACTAGGTGTCACTCGGCAACTATATAGAAAACATTTAAAACCAATTTTCTCATTTTGAGCATTATATCTACGGTTTAATTAGGCTGTTGGCGCAAGTTGCAATAATTTTTACAGAAATCAAGCAGAAAATAAAACAAAAACAAACAAACAAACAAACAAACAAACAAACAAACAGGTAATAAGAAAGCAATACCACACCTTTAAAGAAGGATAGGCTTCTCAGGTTTCAATCAAATACAGCAGACAACACACATAGATCAAAACAAACCACGATAACCTTTAACCATGAGTACACATATTTCCATCTCCTATCAGTTAAACGTTTAAATTTTATTTCTACTGATTTGGAGGAGATGCAATACCACCCAAAACTGAGCTTCTAGGTAATGCAAAAATATATATGATCAATATGGATAGATCAGAATTATTTAATACTGAATGATTCCTTTAGCTTTAATTATAATTCAGCTGAAAAGCTAAAAGAAGCAGTTCTGCCATAGCCTGTGAATTCAATTTGGACATTAAATGGAGAGGCAAAAGTGAAGTAAAACGATGCTTAAAGCTAAACAAGATTTCCATTAGGGCTGGGCGATATGGCCTAAAATCCATATCATGGTATAATTTGAAGCACGTGCCGATATATATCGCGATATATTCTTTTGTATTTTCCACACTATTTAATTCAATTCAATTTTATTTATATAGCGCCAAATCACAACAAAAGTCGCCTCAAGGTGCTTCATGCCTTGAGGCATGAAGTGTGCTTTATTTACACTATAAAGCACACTTAAAATCCTTTAATTTTCTCAAAAATCGAGTGTTCCTTATGTATGAATTCTGGTTGTGCTTACTGACCTCCAACCGATTTGAGCGTGCAGAAATCTGTTAAAAAATGTTTTAGTACAACTTTGGTAAGCTGCACTGCTTGATGGATTGTCAGAGCATCACGGCTGCTGTAGTCAGTGTTGCCAACTTAGCGACTTTGTCGCTATATTCAGACCCCTTAACCACTTTTTTTCTATAAAAAAAAAAGTCGCTAAAAAAGACCTGAAAGCATGTATGGCTTTTACTCTCAACAAGCAGCGGGTGCTGTAACGCAGTCAGTTCTTCTTTTACTCTTATGCTGTTTTGTGGATCACAAGGTTTAAAACTACTTATAAACACACACACACAAAGTAACTCCACCAGAGTGCCTATTTCGGGTCACTTTTGCCGGTCCAAGCCCGGGTAAAGGAGCAGGGTTGGAATTGTGACATTAAAAAAAACAATAATTGCTAAAAGAAATTTAATTTGTAGTTCTAAATAAACTCTAAATGCATTTAGGACGTTTTTTACTCACTTTATGTCTCTTCCACGATGTTATTTCTCTCTCCAACAACATAGGTTACAATTAGATTAGCATGACCAATTATGCAAATTAGGCGATGACGTCATTTAGCGACTTCTAGCGACTTTTAGGACAACCAATAGCGATTTTCCTTACTGAGGAGTTGGCAACACTGGCCTAGTGAGACTTCGAGTAATCTGGGTCCAAAAGTCAAACAACACAGAGTTAAAACGGTCTAAATTCTTTAATCTTTAATAAAATCATCAGCGTTGCTGCTTTACCAGGTGTAACAATTGAGTTTAACATCCAGGCATCCATGAAAACAGAATTTATTAAATTTAATAGAGTTACAAGTTAACAGGAAGTTAGCTTGCTAGTTTCCACCTAAACATGACATACCATGTTCTGACTGAGAGATTTCTGAAACAATTCAAACATACAGCTCTGCTACCACTTCCAACATAAAGACAGAAAACTAAACAGCAGTGGCGTTGCAGGGTTACTGAAGTTGGACTACCTGGTATATAATGTTGTGCTACGTGATTGCTAGCGACACAGCTATGTTAGCATAACATTAGCACAGTGACGCTGGAGGATGAACGCCAACTTCTTTCCACTGATAAAAGTTAACGTGAGGGATTCTGGTGGTTAGGGACAAATGCAATCGCATAGCAGGATGCTATACACGGAGCAAACTTCAGCCAGGAGAACAGCTGAGATTATTCATCCACAATACGAGGTTAGTCATTAATATACTGCAACAACATGGGAATAGCGCAGCTGCCAGAGAATTCAATATTAATGAATCAATGTCAAAGTGGAGGAAGCACAGTTTTTGGCTTTCCCCATATTTCAAAAGTGCTTCACCTCTTTGCTATGACTGTCGCCCATCATAATTTGCAGATGATAATGGTTGTAGCCGCTGCAATGCTTTCGACCAGAACAGGCGCCGCTTGATGACGTCATCAACATACACTATCGCGATAGAGCGGTATAGTCAAAATCTCTATCGTTGGCCAAATTTATATCATTTCTATTGTATATCGTTTATATCGCCCACCCCAAATTTCCATCTTGATTATCTTGTTTTAATAATTGCAGGAAGGTAGACTTGTATTTAAATAAAAATCTGATTCACTGCACAGCCCTGTTAGGCTTAAAAAATATCAGATGGCTCTAGGAAGTCTGCTTGTGCATTCATTCAGACTGGAGCTGGCCATCCATGTGCAAAACAAGAATCAGGTCTTCCATTTTCCAGTCCACAGGAAAATGAATCATGTTCCGAGTAACACAAGCGGATACACATTGCACTGGAAATGTCTTGACATGAGAATGTGATCAATATTTTCCTGGAAGTGCATAAATTCGGCAACACAGAGTAGGTCCAGCACGATGTGGCAATGAATAAGAGACAGGTCACTTTACACATTCAAAAGAAAGCTTTAATTAGAAAGTTATATACACACTGTAAAATTAAATTAAACTTTATACAAATATTAAATTACTATCTTCACACCCACTGCCATGTACAGAGGAAAAACCAAAGCTGAAAGCATTGAAACAAACAAAAATCCAGATGTTTTTCTAACTGGGAAGCAACACTGTACAACAGTGCTTCTGAATGCAAATGAATTCAATTTTTGCCCCTTTACCATAATTTTTTTTAATGCCTTGTAACAAAAGAGAAAGCCAAGGGCAAATAAAACATAGGTGCTTAAAGGATCACCATCATCACCATCATCATCATCACAGTAGCTGGAAAAGCTAGGGGAGGACAGAGAAGGATGGACATTCATTTAGTCGTGTCCACAACAAAAGTAAACTCATTGATACATATACAGACAGTTTTATGCATAGAATAGAAAAGAATAGAGTAAGGCCATTGGGAAAACAGAATATGTTGCAGTATTGTGGCGCAACCAATGCAGAGGCTTAAGATTATACATCAAAAAAAGAAAAAAGAAAGAACATTTACAAGTCTAAGGCAACATCTGTTTGCATTAATAATGTAGCCATTGACGTGACAAACGAATGTCAAAATAAAACTGAGAATAGAAATTCAGACAGGTTGCTGTGTTATTGTATTTTTTTCCCAGGCAGTTAAGGTTATAAAGTAGCTCTGAGGATCCATCCCAGTCATGCTGTTGTCAGGGTGACCAGCTCAACCCCCTAAGCTTTTCAAGTGGCAACGAAAACAGAGGATGACTTCTAACAGAATAACAAGATTCTCGCTTAAGCTTGCACTTGGCATTCGAGGGGTGAGTGAGTACATGTGACAGGGTGCTGTATATATTTATATTTATAACAAAACTCTTATTTAATTCACTGCAACCAGTTGCAGTTTGTGTCAATAATGCACAAAAGTGGAGAGTCCTTAGTTCAGTGTGAAGATGAGCATAAGCCAGTTCCTCTGAGGAGGCCCGTGTTTTACAGCCATTCAGCAGAACATAATAACTATTCTAGCTTGAGAGCGAATGAATAATACACACATTGTGTTGTGGACTCGACGCCCGAAGTGAAGCTGGTTTGTTCATGTGACTTATTCAATGCTGGGAGGGATGTTTTCCTATGGTGACTGACGGGGACATTGTGAAGCCAGCCTCGGATCAGAAGGGAGGCAAATCAGGAAATGGCTGTATCAAGGCCTAACCAATAAGAGGACATGTTCTCTGTGGCCTCGCTGGCACATAAACATACACGCACAGACACGCACTCAAAATCAAGCAACTTAAAGCAAACCGAGCCACACGCCACGCAATAAATACGATGGGAAGAAATTAAATTTGGCTCATGTGCCCAATCACCTTGTTTAACAACAACAACAACAATAACAGCTCACTCTTAAGCTCAGATAAAATGTTGCATTTTGTTTTTCTTTCCCTGTACAGCTAAGATGTGTAGCGAAGTTGTGGATCCAAAACACCAATTAATCCCACTCATGTGAGAGAAGGAGCAGCTTCCAGATGCCGGGTGCAGCGAGCAAAAGAACAAAAAAAAAAAGAAGAAGCAGATCTTTTTATAGTTGTGATTTGGTGAAGTGGTTGTCACTCCTACTTATCCACACGTTAGACGCCAACTGGATGCACAGATAAGCAGACAGTCAGAGAGGAGGCTTCATGCTTCATTCAGAATAGGCCACCGTGCCGTGACAGCAAACAACTGAAAACCACATGCAGCATTCACAAGGAACTCAGGCATCACTCACAACTTTTCAAGTATGGCGGGAAGACTGAGTGCCGACAGCATCAGGAGCGAAAATCACACTTTTTTTTCCTTTTCTTCTTGTTCTTTTTTTTTTTTTTGTATCCACAGTTGTGTCAGATGCAGCTGGCGTGTCTCGATTGTTGTAGCCTTCTCTGAAGAAGCAATGTTAATATAGAGAAATACATCTGGGTAGAGGCAAGTGTATGGTAATACATAGCCTATAGTACACAACCTTGACTCAGGTATGTTTTTTACTCATATACACAGGATCTACAGGATTTAACTTAAACTGGCACCACTCTGCTTGTCTGGCTCATCTTTAGTCTGATCCAGCAGGTGGGTCCTGTGGTGCTCCGTAATTGCCTTACAGTGCAATATGGGTATTGGTTGTCAGCTTTGCTCTGCATGTCTAGCAATGGCAGAAGAGGCTGTGATAGGGAAAGGGCACAGTTCTAGTCTTTTCTCTGCTGGCTGCAGTGGGGCGGGATCAGGGAAGAAGGTTGACAGCCACAGTCAGTTCTGGCCAGCAGCGTGAGAAAGGGAAAGAGGGGCTCTGCTGCTGATGCTGATAGCAGGCCAGCAGGCTTCATGCTTCCTTCAACAGGGGAATATCTGCAGGAGAGGAGAAGAGTCATATGACAAATGACCAATACCTTTAGGGTCATTCTTAGTGCAGCCCTCAACCCATCACACTTAAAATACATTACATCAAAGTTTATATTGAGTTTTATTCATTTGTCATTTTTGATCTTGTCTACTCTTGTCCTTGATATGCACTTTACATGTTCTATGGAAAATAAAATCCATGTACATATTACACAGGTGTCACACTGGCTACTTTTTAATGCTATCCTCTATAAAAACAAAAAAACAAACAAAAAAGGGGAAAAAAATCAGTTGTTTAAATTTACAAACTTAATCCAATGCAGAGTGGTTGAGTTTTTAATCTAAAGTGCTCCTCTGTCTTTATTCAGAATCTTAGCTGTAACTCAGTCTATGGAATATATATGAACACAGTTAGACCAATGCAGCTACAACTTAAAAATCAGAGAAAAATGAGCAGAATGCATTGTCTTACCATCACAAAAATCATCTGTTGAGGTGACAGAAAGCAGGCTGTGCTGGTCGCTGCTGTCAGAGTCTCTACGGAGAGGTAGGGGACCTGCGCATGCACCCCCAGGGTGCTCTGTAATCCATGATGATGAAGAGGAGGAAGAGGGAGCCTGGTGAACCAACACCGTCTCTGCATGACGGCGGGAGGAGAAGGATGAAGAGGAGGAGGTGGATGGGAGACAGAAGTCTAAGTCTCTGTGGTGGCGGGTTCTCCTGGAGCTTTGACCTCCTGTGGCTCCCTGAGGAAGCCCCTCAGAGAGCACAATAGGAACTCTAGACTCTGGAGGGACTGGAGGCGGCGGTGAAGAAGGAGGAGGAAGAGAACCGGAAGGGCCACATGGTCCACTGCTTCCATATACTGCCTCTTCATAGGAGGGCAGGGTCACCTGTACACCCTCCACCATGATGGAGCTGGCTTGGCCCGACACACCCTGCTCCCTCCTGATAAACAGACATGAAGAAAGAATGAAAAGTGTCAACCAGGTGAATCACCAAACCAAGTCCATGTTCAAGCTGAAACCACAGCTGGTTAGTTACGCAGATGGCAGTAACTCATAACATAGGTTATGTTTCATTACTAAGGAATTCAAGAAATGCTAACCTGCGCAACTAGTCAAACATAAACTTTTTATGATTCGAGCCAACCAAAACGTCTGAATGATGGGTGTGTCACAGAAAGATTGTGTTAATTTATGGCACAAAGGTTAAGCTTCCAAAAGTTTCCATGTAAGACTGATATGATATATATATTTTCAACAAACAAAACACAAACAGAGCCACACAGAGGCTGAAAAGTCTTTACCGGGCTGTAAAATGTGACTAAATCTAAAGCCTGATGTCATTTCAAGTAATCACACTTTACTGGCCAATTTTATTGATGTTTTCGGAGGAGCAACTTCCCTGAAACCTGCTTTACAATGGAGTCCATTAAGAAGAGATGAGCAACTATGTTTTGCAACAAGGATATGAACACAATTTATTCAATTGTCTTAGAAAATACCCTCTAAAATGTTACATAAGGTCCTGAAATTTATGAAACCACAACTAAAAATGCCTTCAGTCGATTGCAAAACTACACGACTGCGTAGAAGCGGAGTTTTTGTTATCAGCAACATATCCAACTAATTTTTTATCGTGAAGTATTTGCTGGTGTGAGACTGCAGTAAAGTTTATGTGTCTTACCTGTTGTGATGAATAGACTTGAGCTTTGGTTGTACAAGAACAAACAGCACCACTAAAAGCAGGACGAATGCCACAGAGCCGGCTGTGATTATCACAATAGACAGAGCAGGTGTACCCAGTGGAGAACTCGGTTCCTTCTCTGAGAGGACAAAACAAGACGTAGAGGAAGTGAGAATGTGATCTGCTGATTTTAACATATCTGCAACTGGTTATGCATGCTCATGAAGAGAGCTATAACAGCTAACAGAGATTAGCTGAGATGGCAGACCTTCTGTGAGTCGGCAGCTAATCTGCATGGGACGGTCCCACTCGCCATTCCGACAGGTGAGGAACTTGTACTCTCCCTTCAGAGCGTAACCCTCGGCGCAGAAGTACTCGATGACGGTGCCTTCAATCAGAGGGCTGCAGTGGGTCGGATGACAACGGTAGCCCCCGTTTTCTGGTTGGGTAGGGAGTGAACATACTGGAGAGAGAGACAGGCAATAGAGATATTATGTTTGTTGTTGAAAATGTGTTCACTGTTATTTACTACATGTGTACTTATTTAATTCCTTTGGCTTGAGTTCTCAGAATTAAGCTAAATTTTCTAAAGAGGTCTGACACTTCAGATCTGGTACAGCCATGTCTCTTATGAGCACGTGATCAATGTTAGAAGTAATAAAAGTCGCCTTATAGGGAAGACAATAAGAGTAAATAAACTATAAAATACAAATATGTATGACAGCAATACAAATATCCATACACATCCTCCCAGCCCTGCCTACATAAGTGCATACGCAATATTAAAAAATAATTTGCGTGTTTTATCAGCATAAAGAAAAGTGCCTTTCTTATGTGCAAAATCAGCTAAAAATGTGGATTTTGACCACAAAATTGACAGTACGCTACTTGAAGTCGCATTAAAAACACTAAATTGCATTGCTTGTCTGCTTTATCACAGGTATATTTGCATGTTTGAAGCTTATTTACCATTGTTTTTGATGCAGCGTAGCAGTTGTTGGGACCAGGTTCCAGAAGTGGTACACACGATGGATCTGGATCCAGACTCGGCGATGTATCCAGACTCGCAGCCATACACTAACACAGTGCCAGGTGGGAAAGAGCCCCGGTTGGATTCAGTCTGGTTCAGCAGGTATCCGTGCTGCACACCAGGTGGGTGCTGACAACCTGAAGATACAAAAACAAGTCAAAGAAATAATTATTAGTGGGCTGCTTAAGTTGTCAGTGGAGAACCTCTTCTGAGCAAGACGTAAACAGGATCTGAGAACTCTTCCCCTCACTTACTTAGGGAACTGCCAGCTGCAGGCCAGCATCCAATTTGGGATCTTGATCCATATAAAGCGATTATAAATTATGTAACTAAATGAAGCTGAAACTCCTTCTGGAAATGATGTACATCTTAAGGATCAATTCATGTAGAATTTTCCAATTTATAGGGCTTACAGGGAAACAGGAAGTGTTTGACTGAGAAGTTGCTGGGTTATCTGAAGAATAATTTACCATTATTGTGCCAAATTTATGAATTAAACAGTTTGTGTTCTGTCCGACTCCATCAAAGTTTAACAGGGAACCATTTTCCGTTGACTAAAATTTTAGTGGTAGATTAATGCTGCTGGAATATAGTGCTGTCCTTTCATTACTCTGACATAAACTGCATCTTGGTCTCCCCTGCAGGCGACTGCCACAGGGTCAAACAACTTTTCAGAGGGAGCCTCTGTCAAATTGACAGGTTGAGCTTATAATTAAAGCTCTGTGGTATTGTTACTTGAAACTAGGCTGCTTTTACAACAGCAAGAGAGAAGCACTGTATCAACATGACAAGTTAGGTGGAGACAGCCGTGCTGTGCATCTTAGAGAATACCTCAAGAGCCTACAGTGGATTAAAATGTCACAAGGAGCTTCATACAGATCTAATTTCTCTTGATTATTTGCTGTTCATTAAACCGTTTTCAGCCCACGCTAACATTAGTTCTATCTGTCTGGCGGAGAGACAGAGTCTTTAGCGAGGCTCATTTGCTCCGTGCTAATGACAGACTTGAAGCTCTAAGCCAGCCAATAAACACAAGATGAGTCAGAAGACCTAAAGTTAATCGAGCTTTGATCCACCTTCCTGTGCTCCATATATCACACATACATACTGCAGTGACACGGCAACTGCTCTTTGCGTCTTGTGTGACTGTTTAATCACAGTGTTAGAGTGAATTTGTGCTGCACTCCCACTGCCATGTTAATACATGCAGGCAACAAGAGCTGGTACTGGCGAGAGCAGAGCCTGTAAATCCAGCCGATCTGACATCAACATTGCAACACCTGTGTAAATTGAGACAGCAGGAGACTGACTTTGCTTTCGGTATGACTGAAAAAAGATATGCGGATCATACACATACATTTTTATTACCACCCATGTGACCCATTTGGAAGGAGGTCGGGTATTTTTCCAATAAACACTTAAACCCCTTTGGGCAATAATGTATAAATTAATTTTGTCATAATAAGTGAAGGATTTTTTTTGTCTTTTAATCCGTACATCATATTTGTCTGATTTATTGATTTGAATTATACACTGTGTTGTGGCTTTTTTTTACTAACAAGTAAAATTAAACACTCAACACAAAAACATTAATAATGCCATCAGCGCTAATGACCATATGGCTCATTATTTAATCCCTGGTCTGAGTACTTATAAAATCATATTAGCCAAGGTCTAATGCAGTGCTTTATCACTTGCTTGACATAAACAAACACACCAACACCACAAACAGGCACTTTGTCTTGCCTCTTGTGTGTGTGAGTGGTGTGTGTGTGTGTGTGTGTGTGTGTGTGTGTGTGTGTGTATAGAGATTGAAAGAGAGACTATTTCCACAGCAGTGCCTCGAACATCCTGTAATCTCCGTAGAGAAATGCCGCTCTAAGCTGGCAGCACAAGATTAAATGCAAACACTCTAAATGTGCGAGTGC